ACTCCAGCCCCGTCCCAACCTCTGGCTGTGCAGCGTGGCGGAAGCCCAGCCCTGGATCCGGGGTGCTGCGGGGAGCAGCCTGCGGCTCGCTGAAACCCGCCTGAACCGGCCCCGCAACCCTGGCCCGGAGCGCGCGGCTCCCGAGTTCTCCTACAGGTCAGCGGCAAGCCAGGATCCAGGGCTGGGCTTCCGCCACGCTGCACAGCCAGAGGTTGGGAAGGGGCTGGAGTCTCCCAGGGTTGGATGGGGAAAAGGAAGTAAACAGAAGGAAGATGCGGGAATCCCCAGGACCTCCCCTGCTCCTTCCAGGCACGTTTTATTTTCAGCTTGGAGGAATTGGGCCTGGAGGGACTTTAGGTGAGGAAGTCAGGGATTGAACCCGGCAAGCGAGGGATGGAGAGGTGGCTAGGCCCCTCCAGAAGCCAGAGGCAGGAAACCGGGTGTCTGGTGTGGACCAGACTGAGTGTGTGTGGGCGTGCTTGGGAAGCTGTGGGGTTGGAGGTTTGTGTAGCCAAGGATCTGTGTGAGGGATGGGGTGGGTGGCAAGGAAAGAGGCGCTTCCACTTAGCCATGTCCTTTTAAGTTGCAGATGATCGGTGCCACCTGTGTCCTGGGAACCCATCTAGCATTCCTGCCCCAGGTGTACGCCCTTCATCCATAACCAAGAAGAGCCTTCCCACCCTCCACAGTTAGGAAGACCTGGTGAGCGGCCTGACCCGGACTTCTCCCTCGTTCCTTCGAAGCTGCCACCAGCCAAGATGCCGAGGAACCAGGGCTTCTCGGATCCCGAGTACTCGGCTGAGTACTCTGCCGAGTACTCCGTTAGCCTGCCCTCTGACCCCGACCGCGGGGTCGGCCGGACCCATGAAATTTCTGTGCGGAATTCGGGGTCCTGCCTGTGCCTGCCTCGCTTTATGCGGCTGACCTTCGTGCCTGAGTCCTTGGAGAACCTCTATCAGACCTACTTCAAAAGGCAGCGCCATGAGACACTGCTGGTGCTGGTGGTCTTTGCGGCCCTCTTTGACTGCTACGTGGTGGTCATGTGCGCGGTGGTCTTCTCCAGTGACAAGTTGGCGCCCCTCATGGTGGCCGGCATTGGTCTGGTGTTGGACATCATCCTCTTTGTGCTCTGCAAAAAGGGGCTGCTCCCGGACCGAGTGAGCCGCAAAGTGGTACCCTACCTGCTGTGGCTGCTCATCACAGCTCAGATCTTCTCATACCTGGGCCTGAACTTTTCACGTGCCCACGCAGCCAGCGACACGGTGGGTTGGCAGGCCTTCTTTGTCTTCTCCTTCTTCATCACGCTACCCCTCAGCCTCAGCCCCATCGTGATCATCTCTGTGGTCTCCTGTGTTGTGCACACGCTCGTCTTGGGGGTCACTGTGGCCCAGCAGCAGCAAGATGAGCTGCAAGGGATGCAGCTGCTGAGAGAGGTGAGTGCCACCCTTCTTCATCCTGTACCTTCCCCTTCCTCCCAGGTCTCACCCAGGTGGGATTGCTTTCGATGCCCGCAGGGTGTTCACCCCCATGCCATCCGGTGTTTGCTTTAGAGAAAGGATGCAAAACACTGGGCCTCCGGGCCACTCAGCCATCTGTGCTGAGTGGAGTATGTGACCGCCCCTAGTCTTGTCCTGCCATTCCATCAGTGAACCCGGGTCAAGAGACCTCTTAAGGCAAATTCTGATCTCTAGTTGTCTTTGCTTAACTCCAGATGGGGTTTGACTTGTGTGAGCTCAGTACTCTCTATCAGATGGGGATACTGTCTGCCCTGCATGCAGAAATGGCTGTTACCAAGATGCAAGGGAACGTGGGTGAAAGCCTGTGTGGTTGGGTTATGTGAGGAGCTGTAAGGAGCAGATGCGGTTATTAGAGATATCATGCTTCTGCCCTAGAGCTCAGAGTGTCACCAGCAGATAGGTGGTCTCCCCTAGAAGTCAGGGTATGGGGACCCAACTGGGGACAGTTGCCTTAGCCACTCTGGTGTGGAGCTTGCTGGTCCTAGTAGGCTCTTTCTGCGGGAAGGGGTGGAAAATTCGCCTTCAGCTTTACTAGTTTGTGTTCCCACCAAGTGCTAAGAGAGGCAGCCAGCCAGAGCCACCCAGAGACTGAAGGTGGGGTGCGATGCTGGTCTGAATGTGTCTGGTCATCCCCTGAAGGGGCTCCCCAGAGATGTGAGTCGCTGGATTCCATCTTATGGTATGCCTTCCACTTTTTCATACATGACCTGAGAACTGGGAAGTGGCCAGTTGTCATCAGGCGTCTTCTGTCTGCATCCGGAGTTCTTTTCCCCACATCTCGCCAAAGCCTTTATCGTGGTCCGCTTGGGGTTGGGGTATCCCAACAGTGGGGCCCCTACAGTGGCCCCAATGGTACGTCTGGTGGCTGATGAGAGAACTTTTGGGGGCCTAGTTCATTGCCTCCTGGCTGTTTAGAGGAAAACATGGCTTATGGCTTCTGCTGGGGTTTAACTTTTTTTTTTTTTAAATTTTTTTGTGAGGCAGGGTTTCACTGTTTAACAGCCTTAGCTGTCCTGGAACTTGCTGTGCAGGCCAGGATGGTCTCGAACTCAGAGATCCACCTGTCTCTGCCTCCTGAGTATTGGGGTTAAAGGCATGTGCTACCCCTGCCTGATTTTAACTTTGTTTTTAAAGGTCTTGGTTCAAAGTTCTGTTTTCCCATTCTGGGTCAGGTATTTCAAAGATCTTTTTTAAAATTTATTTTTTATTTTGAGGCAGGATATCATGTAGCCTAAAATGGCCTTGTTGCAACTGAGGATGACTTTGAACACCTGATCCTTTTTACCTCTACATGACGTGTGTTAGGACAACAGATGTGGGCTACCATGCTCAGCTAATTTCACAGAAGTTTTCTACATGACTCGACCCTGGGCTAGTGCCCATGGGGATTTGTGGGATACCACCATGTTTTTGTTTGTTTGTTTGTTTGTTTCCTGGTATTGGTTGTTCTCTTGTGAACACCTGTCGTTGTTGTAGCTTTCTGGGTTGGTGGCTTCAGCTTGTGTCTCTGCTTGTGGATGGTTCTGTTGCGGGGATGACGCCCACAGCCATTGCTACAGGGGATTGGTCAGGACAGTTAGATTTGGCAGCATTTGGGGTTTGGGGACATATTTTGAACCATTACCTTCCAATAAATAAGCATTTCTTCTTTTTTCTTCTTGCCAGGGTCCCTGGGCCTTGGGTATATTTCCCCGGTGTGTTGTTCGTTAAGGGAACAAATCAGAGGAGAACCCCCACTTCTGACCACACCTAGACCTGCTTGTTGGCTGGAAATATTTGGGGTGCAAAAAGCATCTTCTAGTGAAGTTGGGCAGTTCAATCCTCAGCCTAGGTCTGCCCAAGTGCTAGGATGGGCACACAGGGGCTCTGTCATGACAGAGATTCTAGGTTTAGTGGGGAGCAGACTTGAGTGACCGTAGATAGTGTGTCCCCAGGGGCCAGCGAACCACCGACCAGATTACATGGGGGAGCTGTTCCCAGGATGTGGTCCAGGAAAACTGTCTGATTCCTGCTTCAGCTCTATGTGGTGGAGGATAGGGCTGGTGGTCAGCCTAAGGAGCTGACCAGCTGCGGACCAGGAGAGCAAGGGTATACCTGAAATTCAGACAGAGCCGCTGCCAGACTATGGAAACTGACCAACACTGAGTGGTGCTTAGATATTCCACTCTTCTGCCTGATTCTCAACTTAGGCCTTCTGATTTGTTCTAGAAATGATCAGAAGGTGTTAGCACAGGTGAGGGCCTGGGAGAGCGTCTAGTCCAGAGCCCCAGCAGGTTCCTAGGGATGGAATCACAGGTTAGCAGCTGCTGCTCATTGGCAGCAGAAATGAGGGGACAGCCCAGGTGTGCTGACTCCCTGACCAGGGCTCCCACATGGAGGTGCGAATTTGTCCCCTTAGTTGAAAGCAGGATCCTGACTTCTCTTCCTTGTCTACTGGCAACAAGCCCTGTCTCTGCCTGTTTGTTGTCACCCAGATCTCTGTGGAAGGCCCAGCTTGTAGAGACTCTGGGTCTCTGTCCATCAAGTCGATGGACACATTGTCATCTTGGTTTGGAACCTGGACTTAGTCTGAGGCCCCTCGCTCTGAGGTTTGTGTTATTGATACTTCAGGTTCATGTCACTGTAGGTCTCACCATCTCCAGTCAGCAAGAGACTTAACTTGGAGACTCCAAAGTGTCGCCACAGGGCGGGACCCGGGTCATAGGTGTGACCTGGGTCCCTGTAGATCAGTTTTGAACTCAGGGTTACTGGTCTTAAAAGAGACCAGGGCTGCAAAGAAATAAGGGCCCCAGTTGGGAGCAGGGGGAAAGGTAAAAATAGTCACTCAAGAGTAAAGATACTCGCAGCTGGGAGCATAGCTCAGCGGTGGAATGCTTGCCTAGCACGCTCAAGGCGCCCTGAATTGAATCTCCAGCATGCCCCCCCCATAGTACATAAATACACATTTACAAAATAAAAAAAAAAAAGGAAAATAAGAATTTTGTACCCTAGGGGAATATGATCTTGACATGAAACCGTGCCTGGAACAACTTGACTTTGGGATTAGAAGGGAGGAAAGGGACCCTCCCAAGGTTAAATTGGGAGCCTGAGATAAGAAGCTGGAGGTCAGGTTCTAGTATGTGTTCCAGAAGTTTCTGAGTCACTTCTTTGGGAGCAATGTGACTTTCTTTTTTGATTTTTAACGATTCGTTTATTTTCATTTTATGTAAACATTGGTGTTTTGCCTGCATGTGTATCTGTGTGAGGATGTCAGAAATCCTGGAGCTAGAGTTTCAGACAGTTATGAGCTGCCATGTGGGTGCTAGGACTTGAACCTGGGTCCTCTGGAAGAGCAGCCAGTGCTGTTAACTGCTGAGCCATCTCTCCAGCCCCACAATGTGACTTTTCACAAGGTGTATAGTTTCCCAGGTCCACTCAGCAAAGTCTGCCTTCCCTTACAGCTTTTTTGCATCCCATCTCTGAGTACCGTGGAAACCAAGGTCCGTGCAGCGTTGCTATGGGGACGGATACCTAGGACCCATGTCCCTGGGGCGTGGAGAAAAGCGTCATTCTTTCACCCTAGTGTTTGCTCCTCCAGCCTGTGGGATGGGAGCTCCCTCGAGAATGAGAAGGGCAGGGGTAAGGGGGCCAAGCATTTAGGTCCTCCATCTCAGGCAAACACCCAAGACTTTCCTCAGACCCAACCTGGGCTCCCTTTCTTATTCAAGTCCTGCCCCTGTGTTCCTCCTCCTCTTTCTTCTTGCTTGTTGACTCTGACGTGGTCTCTCTCCTGGGTCATGGATGTGGCTCCGTTTCATAAAAGACACCTGTGGTTCTAGTTGGGCCTTGTGGTTTTGGTTTTGACTGGGAGTAGCACCGAGGAAATAGTTCCCGTGCCAGATTGATGCCAGAGTCTCCTACAGCCCCCCCACCCCCACCCCATTCCGTGTCTGTTTTGGCTCTATGGGGAAAGGCCTAGAGGTAGACATGGGATTTTGGGCAACCGGACATCTTGTCCTGGACTCTTCTCAAGGGGTCAGCAGATGGGGTTCCAGCGAGGAGACCGTATGCAGTTGGGCGAAGGGATTAAGGTGGCGTCGGGGCCTTGTAGATTAGGTAATGAAGGAATATTACAGAGTGAAGAGTAGAGCCCTGCAGCCTTTGGGTCTGGGGCACAGAGGGCCAGCCCTGGGATTGTCAGCTGTGCGATTCTCAGGCTGTGCCTAGGGCTGACTGGGGCGGAAGGGTGAGTCAGGAGGAGCTACAGGCTCCATCTTCTGGGTTCTGACATCTATGCCTCTTATAGCATGGCTTGCCCTCGGCTGCCTTAAATGCCCCTGAGGTGAGGCGAGGAAGCCACACAGGCAGGACCCAGAGTGGCAGCTGACAGCTGGGGATGAAGGAGACACGAAAGAGTGGAGGGTGGGAGATATAGCCGAGGTGGCGGTGAACACATCTCTGGCCTGTAACCGCTTCAGAGACCCTTGCGCATTCTCACAGGCTTCTGGTAGCTTCTGCTGTGTGTCGTTAAGAAATGAGGCCTGGGATCCCTGACAAATAGTTTGAAGACTGACTTCACCGCAGGAGGGCTATCTGGGAGCAAAGGTCTCTAGCAGAATGAGTAGCCTTCTTCATTTGCAAGGTGAACCTTGAGGAGGTTGTGAAGAGACTGCTCGGATGCTTATGAATGAGACAACAAGTTACCCCCTTAGGGAGGGAGGCTTTGGCTCTGGGTGGTCCTGGAGAGTTTCAACAAAGTGGATGGTGGGAGAGGGGATAAGGCTTCCAAAGATAGTCCTGCCCCCAGTGAGAGTTAAATGTGTATAAATATGCACACTATCCCCATACGTTCTGGAGGTTCAACTCAGGTTCACAGATGAGTGCCCCAGGGCTTGTACAGTCGGAGGGGGGCGGGAGGCAGGGAGGGTTAGGTGGAG